CAAAACAAGAGGACTCAAACAAGGGTTGTTTTTTCTTTCTTAAAAAAAAAAAGTTTAAGTTGTTCAAATTAGGGTTCCCATTAATTAATTAATCTTCTTTCATTTTCTAAACTATATATATATATATGTTGTGTGTGTATATATATTCAGGCTCAAAGTGAGCGAGCAGACAACTCGGCTCTCCGGGAAGAAAATGAGCGAATTCAATGCGAGAATCTGGCAATTAGAGATGCACTAAAGAACGTAATTTGTCCTGCTTGTGGAGGTCCTTATTTTGAAGACGAAGAACGTCAACTCAAATTACAAAAACTTCAGATGGAAAATGCCCAATTGAAAGAAGAGGTAGTGATCATATCCATGTCTTAATTAACATACCAATATATATATGTTATATATATTTTTGTAGCACCTTCAAATGTATAAAGGCCTACCCACTGGACAATATTAAAAGACATTACATTAATCCATAGAGTTTATATGAACATAAATATATGTGGATACATGATAATTAGTGGAATTAATAACATCATCTACTTTTGTTTTACAGCACGAGAAGATGAGTAATCTTCTTGCAAAGTACGTAGGGAAACCAGTTTCCCAACTTTCCCAGTTTGAAGAAATGAGTACTCCGACCAAAGGCGAAGGACCATCCAATGCCATTGACTCCTTGCCACCAAGTTATCCGACTCAAATTGGATCCTCTTCTGTTGACAATCTTGATAATTTCGTCCCAAAATATCAAAAAAATATTGGTAACAATTTATCAGCGAATAATCGTGTTATCGATCCTATACTGATTTCGGATGTAGAGAAAACTTTCATGGTGGAGACTGCTGCATCTGCCATGGATGAACTAGTTAGACTCTTAAGAGTTAATGAACCATTGTGGATTAAGTCCGAATCGAGTGGATCAAGAGCAGTTATCCATCATGACACCTATGAGAAGATCTTCCCTAGGGTTAAAAGGTTTAAGAATTCGGATTCTCGAATGGAGTCATCCAAAGAATCAGGGATGATAACAGTGAGTGGATCTCAGTTGGTTAAGATGATTATGGATCCAGTAAGTCTTCATTTCATGTGTTTACATATTTCTAATCCCCTAATTTCAACTACTTTATCATATATACATATATGGAGTAAGTAATTATTAATGCTAAATACATAAATTATCATATCTATATAATATCATATATGTTACATATGATCAAACTTTTCAATTTTCAGAGAAATGGACAGATCTATTCCCTACATTGTTTGCAAGCAGACACTTTATGAAGTTCAGCTGGACTA